TATTTGTCTACAGTCAGCAGAATTAGATTAAAGCCTACTTGCTCTGTGAGTCTATTGCCAGGATGGACCTGTGACAGCATCTGTGTCAGTGCACAGCTGTACACCTGACCTGTAACTTTACGTCTCAAACTGAGCAGCTGCAGGTTCAATTCACTGGATTTCCTCTGATTCATTTTCGCTCTGTTCCCTCATCAATGACAGGACTACGGATGTAGCTATCCAACAAAAATTCTGGGAAGTGGGGATAGGGCTGGAACTCAAGTTCCAGCAAGAAGCCCTAGGTTAATCACCAGCACCCCATAAACCAGACATGTGGGGCTCACACATGTAATCCCAGTACTCAAGAGGTTCAGAAATTCAAGGCCATTCCTGGATACATTAGGAGCCCAAAGCCAATCTGATACTTGAGACCAGTCTTTACAAAATGTCCTGGGAATAACTCTCTATTCCTTTCTTTTCTTATTCCCTACATTGTGGCAATCATCTGCTCCTTTGTCCTCCCGGAGCCACCGTGCCCTTATTTTTATACCTAGATAATTTATATTCTTTTAATTTGAGTTCCAAGTAGTTCATCCTGTATCCTAAGAAAAATTTCAATATTTGTTATTTATGTGTATCTGTGTATATGTGCATGTGTACCTATAGAGGCCAGAAGAAGGCACCGGATCCCCTGAAGCTGTGGTTATAGGCAGTTGTGAGCTGCTTGGAGCTGAAGTTACAGAAGGTTGTGAGCTGTCCCACATGGGTGTTTGGAACCGAACTCAGGGTACTCTGGAAGAGCAACAAACACTCTTCTTTTTGGGGGTGGGGGAACAGTGTCTCACTACATAGCTCTGGTTGACCTGGAACTCCCTATGTAGACCAAGCTGGCCTGGAACTTTCAGATAACAGCCTGCCTCTACCTCTGCCTCTGCCTCTGCCTCTGCCTACCGAGTATAGGGATTAAGGCATGTACCACTGAGCTTAGCCTATTATTTTTGTTGTTGTTGTTTTGTTTATTTGTTTATGTGTTTCAGACAGGGTCTCCCTATAGCCCCAGCTGGCCTGAAACTCGCTATGTGGACCAGGCTGGCCTCAGTCTCACAGAGATCAGCCTATCTCTGCATCATAAGTGCTGGGATTAAAGCCATGTGCCTCCATGCCCGGCTACAGCAAGCACTCTTGACTGCTGAGCAGTCAAGATATCTGATCATGTCATTCCTTTAGCTAAAATCCTCACAGCTCTCCTTGACCTTCAGGATGAAGCTTAAGCCCCTCAGTCCCCACACTGGCTCTTACTGTGTTCTAATTTTCCACCCCTGTGCACCCAGACTCCACATACATATAACTACCCACAGTTACATGTGGTTTGCATGCCTGGCTGTTTTCCGTCGTGGTTCCAAGACTGCACCCCATGTGCTCCTTATGCAAATGCTCCTAGGACACTTGGCTTCAGACAGAGCATGGCAGAGGTAGTACTCACAAATGAAGTGTCTCAGTGTGGGCCTGCACACCCAAATGCAAAAACTGATGAAGGCCAATGTTAAGAATGACAAGCAAAAAAATCTGAAGATCAGTAATGTGTTCAAACCTCACAGCACAGTCTATGAACACTGGGTATCAATAGACAATAAAAAAGGCGAGGGCTGGAGAGATGGCTCAGCAGTTAAGAGCACCAGCTGCTCCTGCAAAGGTCTTGGGTTCAATTCCCAGCACCCATATGGCAGCTAACAACCATATTTAACTCCATATGGTTCCAAGGGATCCTTGGGCATTACACAACATGGGTGCATGTATACACATGTAGGCAATGCACTCATACACATAAAAGAAAAATAATAACTAAATTTTTTAAAAGATAAGTGAAGAAATATTTTCATTTAACTATAGGGAAAAATAGTCTCAAATGGTCTTCTATAAGCCAAGATAATGTTGACATAAAATCCTAATGGTGAATTACACTGCTGATCCTAAAATTCACATTGTAAGGAAAAAAGCCAAATAATAACAATAATAAAACTCTAAACAAACAAAAACAAAACAAAGCAAGCAGACTTTGCCCTGCCAAACACTAAGTGTCGTTATAAAGTTGCAACAGTTGTGAAGTGTGTACTGAAGAGACCAGGAGAGGCGAATGGACAAACGACTGAAAACAGGGTAAAATATGTGAAGCCACACATGAAAAAAGGTGCAAACAAGCAAGAAACGATGTTTAGCTGCATCAGTAATTAGGGATAGAGAGGAAACGAACAAACACAATTTTAGATCCAGTTAACTGGGAAGGCTGATTAGTAATACTACAGCCAGTATTAAAGAGAATATGGAAGGTGGATCAAGAGGAAGTCTCAGGCATTGCTGAAAGAAGTACTATTTTTAAATTTTTAAAAACTACTATTATATTATGATCAGGGGTGTCATAGTACTGTAGGTCAGAGGACAATCTTGTGGAGTCAGTTCTCTCTTTCCACTTATGGATTCTGGGGATTGAACTCAGGTCATCAGGCTTTTGTGGCAAGTACTTTACTTGCTGAACCATCTCATAGGCCCCAGGAGTACAACTTTTTATATTCGTTTTGGAGAGCAGTTTGGCAAGATTTTTAGTTAATATGAAACTAAGCATCCTGGAAATTTCCATCTGGAAATTTCAATGCTTGTCATATCCTAGAGAAATACTAGTAAATGTACACAATGGGATCTAAGTAGGGACATTCACTGAGGACTTTCATACTGTAATAGAAAAGAATAATAGGCAATTCGAATGTTTCATCAATATTCCCACTTTATGATATAATATACAATAGACCAGTAGCCAGTTAGAATTAATGAACTAGAACTAAACATAGCAACATGGATAAATCTCAAAAACATTGTATTAAAAGATAAAAACAAATAGCAAAAGAATGAATACAGTACAATTCTGGTCTTTCCCAGAGGGGCCATGGAAAACAGTACACACATAGGTATGTAGCTATGGTATTGAAAGTTCATAGGCATAAATTCTAACTTAGAAAGGTGATTTTTCTCTAGGCAGTGAGATGGGAATAAAATCTAGGAAGAATGATAGGTCTAGTCAAAGTTTATCTGAGAATATTTGGGTTTTGCCCAAGCTTTATCTACATAGTACATGGTATAGTACCAGACTGGTGGAACTACCCTTCTTGGATGTTTAACAGCCATACTTTGAAGCCTATGCTAATCTGGTCAGAGGGATTTAAAAGACAGTTTTTGCTCCTTGCCCTCCAAGGTCAACTAAGTTCCAGGGGATTATGGAGCATCTCTCAAAATGTCTTGTAACTTCAGTGAGTCACCTGTCCTTTTGATCAAATAGACCATGGAGACCCCACCAGATGGACTTGATCCAGTGTCTAGTCTACAAAGAGGAGGGTCAACACAGAGGAAACATTTCCTTCATGCTCCCAAGTGAAGCCAGTCATGATCGAGCAGGACCTTTGACTTATCTTCACTTAGATGGAACTGGTAAAAGAAAGGAGTCAGGGGCTCCACCCAAGCCCATGTGAACCCTGAGGAATAGATCCTCAAATGACCTTAAGAATAAAAATAAATTGGTTTGTTTTGGCCAACTGTATGGTCTTAAACACCCAAAAGGAAAGTATAACCAAAGATTAAAGTGATCAGTGTAATTCTTTAAGAGTCCATGTGTATAGCTAAATAACAAGAAACAATGCCAAACAGAAGATACATTCCTTTCAGCTGTTGGCCAGGGTGGCCCAAGAGACTCCCAGACAGTAACGCAGCACAGAACTGGGAAAATGGACAGCAGACTCCAATATTATCTAAAGGAATGTTGGCAACTGATTGCTGCTACATGAGGAAGAGCTGATCTTCCTAAAACAAGGAACTCTAGATAGGCTGAGTAGACTCAGCAGATGGACTTGCACTGGGGAATAGATGTGGCACTGACAACACAGTGGACAGTAACAGGGATGACAGAGTATATGGGCACCAGTGCAGGAGAGGCTATGGGAGGGTGCCATTTGGGATGTAGGTATAAAGATGACTAAGATTGTTTGGGATGTTCTGTATAAAATATACACACACACAAAAAAACAATAAATTAAAAATGAGTTTTATTTAAGGAAGAAGCATAAAAATTTGCTTCATGTTAATTAGCAGATATGAAAAACATTACCATTGAAATCTACCTGATGAACTTATATCCATGCTCAGATGCCAAGGATCTCAGAAAGTAACCAATTGTCACTAGTAATAATCAGATGTATAGAAATTAGAGGTGCATGCGCCAACATTTAAGCGTTAGTTGCATTAAAAAATGGTGGCACACACCTGTAGTCCCAGCATTTGGGAGGCAGAGGCAGGTGGATCTCTGTGAGTTCAAGGTCAGCCTGGTCTACATAGTGAGTTCCAGGAAGCTGGGGCTACAGGGAGACCCTGCTTCAAAAGGACAAAAACCACAAAAACAAAAAAAAAAAAAAAAATGAGTTTTTCTCTATGAAACAGTATATTATAAAATGAAATGGAGGTTTAAGGTTAAAACCTTATTCAATTTTATGTCTTATAGGGTTTATACTAAGTACAATAATGTATAACTGTGTTAATTCAACATTATGAACCTAAAAATTAAAGCCAGTTTTGAAAGAGATGCATCTTTGCTCTGGAAACTGTTACTATGTCAATTCTGTTGCAATGAAATGCTTCTATTAATTATGTGGTTATTAAATAAATTTTAAAAATAAATAAAATTTAAAAATTAAAAAGAAATCTAGGAAGAATGGACAGGGACTGCATCTAAAATGATTTATTGCTATGCTGGTGATGGCTGTTTGTAGGATTGGTGGTAACGCCAGTGTTTAATATTGAGTAAATATGGCAAATGCCCTATTTAATAAAACTAGGTTCCCTGTATATTTCCTCACTGTTTCACAATTTTAAAAGTTTTCTGACAACTTCTCTAATTAAGTCAAATTGGACCAACTGACCCAGGGCTCTTCAGATGGTAACTGTTCTGGTTTGCCAGAAAGGAATTGCAAAGCCTCACTCACCAATTCCTTTGATTGCCTTACGAATAGCTTCAGCATCCACCGATGGGCTAAAACCTGGATAATCTTTTATGGTTCCTTGAGGTCCAACCTAGGAGGAAAGCCCCATTAGTTCAAACTGACGTCTTTATTTATATTACACGCAAGTATACTCTATTAAAGGTTTATCTCACATGGTCATTATGGAAATTACAAAAAACGTGTTTATGTTTTTAAAAATCTACCACTCTCAGAGGCTCATTGTGTGACTAAATAATTGTCAATGGGAAAAATCAGAGACAGAACATAACTCACAGGCAGCATGCTTATAGGATCCCTGTCTGGTTCATGATACAGACACACTACCCACAGTTCTGGGAGGATTCCAATGGATCTGCATTTGCATGTTAAGTACCTGGATCCAATGCTTTTCACATTATTAGAGGTACAGAGTACAGAATAGTATTTACATGTGTACCTTGTACTTGCATTTCATTGATGAAGAAACCCATTTGTCTGCTATGCAGTGCCACAACAAACTAAGATACATCAGAACCTTGAACATACCTTCCACAGAGCAGTGGACTGGCAGAAAGTTGGAATGGGCAATTGAGACAATTGTTTATGAGTTCCAAAAGACTAGAGCCTGGTTTATACGTGCATATTCTTATATGCATATGGGAAACGTGGTAGACCCATAATCTGCCTCCCTTCCTGCCATCAGGCATAACTCCAGAGTCTTCCCTCTCCAGACATTCAGACAACACGATTTCTACCACATATAGCAGGTGGCCTCCCAGGCCTTTCTTTTTCTTTTGTGTAATGAATTACACATATAAAACATTGCCTCTCTAGGACAATGAATTGTTTCAATCCTGATGACTCTGAAGAGTATGGGCTTTAAAATATCTGTGTACAAACAACAAGAAAGCTGAAATTTCCTATACCCTGTTTTGCTCTGGGGTGGTAATTCCAAGCGCTTTCATTACATCTCACACAGAAACATTTGTGGTTTGGAGATTTCTGAATGTTTTAATTAATGTTGACCCCTGTCCATGGGGAACCCTAATCTAAAGGATTCATAAATGAAAACCCTATTAGGATTGTCTGCTCCTCTGCTCTGCTTAATGGATGGCAATTGTGGTGATGAATTCCTTTGAGAGCTCCACTGCCATCCCAGATCTTCAGGAATGTCATAGAAATTTTTTAAAAGGCCATGTTACTAATTTTAAGTACAAAAATCAGAAACACGACAGTAAACTGGGAAAGATCATACTAGCAAAAAAGTAAAATGTCTTAACATTGCTGAAGAGCCTAGATGACAGTCAGAAGAATGTCAAGAGAAATCAAAGTCAGCATGTCCTTATGTGGTCTAGTCTGGCCCTTCAGATAAAAATCTGTATTTATAGTAGTAACATTTAACATTTTCCTTCTAAACACGGTTTTTCTACCCTCCTACTGAATAATATTGACTCTGTTGTCCTGAACTAATTTGGTATCATTTAGGTTCTTCTAAAGTTTAATGTTTTCATGAAAGGACATTATCTTGTCACATTAAAGTGAACGGAAAATTAATGGTCTGGCACAGCTGAAATGATAGTTTGCAGACTCAATAGATTAGATGGAGCAATTTGTTTCAACATCATCAGCATTGTTTAAAGTACCCCCAATAAAAAAATTTAAAATTAATGAGTTAGAAACTAGCTATGACTATGCCAGATCTAAAAACAATGAAAGAGATCACTCAGTCACTTTAACATAAACTGCAGAGAACTTCCCTTCTTCAAGGCTTAATAAATTTCATATATTCACAGCCTTGTTTCTTTTCTTTTTTAAAAAAAAGTTTATTTATTTGTATTCTTTTTATGTGTATGAGTGTATTGCCTGCATGTGTGTGAGTGCACTCGTGTTGTGCAATGCCCATGGAGGTCAGAAGAAGGCATTGGATTCCCCTGGAACTGGAGTTACAGACAGTTGTTAGTGTCCATGTGGATGCTGAGAATCAAACCCAGGTCCTCTGCATGAGCAGTCAGTGCCCTGAACCACTGAGCCATCTCTCCAGCCCTGCCTTATTTAATTTCTATCCTCTTTACCTATGAGTTTTTGTGCTTTCCTTATCAATCCACCTTCTCTGACATTCTAGAAGAACCACGTAGCATCTGCACACCATGGGTAGGTTTATGATAGGCACCTTGCATAGGTTAACCTACACCACAGCCCTGATTTGTAAGACTGCATAAATGGCGTCAGGATTTATGGACACGGCAGAATTTTCTTCTGTCCACACAGCTGTTAATCTATAGACTCTGAGCTTGAATGCAGTCTATACTGTTCTAGACCATTCCTTGTGTTTCTTGAAATATGTGTTTACATGTATTGGAGTGACACATTAAAATGCATGACCACGACCCAGATCTACCTTAATTCATTGGATTATGTTCTTAGGAACCAGGTGCTAGATCCTACATGCTTACAAAGCTCCCTCATGTGATTCTATGCCGTGGGGCTACTTCTGAACACAGGAAGACAAAACTGTGTTCATGTGTTACAAAGACTTGGGGTTTGTATTCTAGCTGTGACTCTTGCACTGCCTTCTACCACCTACAAATAAAAATATGCTAAAATTCTGATGTACAAAATTAGATGAGGATAAAATTTCCAATCTATTATGCAACTTTCTTTCTAGTAAGAATTAGATGGAGAACAACTTATGTGATTAAAAGCTTTCCCACATACTACACACGTATGCATATAAATGCATTTCATCTTCAAAAAAGCCATGAAAATTTTTATTTTGTTGTTTATTATGCAGTAGTGTGATCAAATCCCATGGCCTCATAGATAACAGGCAAGTGCTTTACCACTGAGCTAGAGTCCCAGCCCAAGACACGGAAATTCTGAAGCAGAATTCCAGTGAACTATTTAAAACTGTTTCAGTTACTTAATGAACACAGGAATCCCTTGATAAGACTTGGTACCCAGATTATTCAATAATATTTCTGACTTACAGGAACTCATTTAATTGTAAAAGAATTACTGGAATTGTTATACTTTTAATATATCCCAGGTAATGAACAAAATATTTTATAAAGACCTTAAACCTTTACAATGACCTTAACAAGGTTGATTTAATTATTTACAGTTAAAAATGGAAGAGATCAATCTCTGAGAGATTTATTTGCTTAACAGAACCCTACTCATACAGGAAATCCCTGAATTTAAACCCGCCTTCGCATCACTGAAATGCTGAGTTCCACACACAGCATCTCACTTTGCCTGTGCTATGGGTGGGGAGTGACATGTCAGTGGTTCTCAAAGTGGGTTCCTGGATCAGTCCCATGGGAATCATCTGGAACTTAACAGAAACGCAGGTTCTCAGGCTATACCCTGCTCTTACAGAATCAGCAACGGTGGAGCTGGGACTCAGAATCTGTCTTAACAAGACCTCTCAGTGACTTTAATCAACAACAAAGTGGCATGACCAAAATTTCATTTCATTCTCAATTGCCTTGAAAAACAAAGTAAAACTCAGCAAAGAAATCCCGAATTCCTTCGTGGGTGTGGAAGACGAAGAATTTAATGAGCTCATTGTTTTAGGAATGAAAGCTGTTTGCATTGCCCGCTTCATTGCAGTCTCAGTGCCTTGCCAAGCAAACCGCTGATGGATACTTAGTTGAGCTCATTTTCAGGAACCCTAGTACCTAACAGGAGTGTCAGTGCTGGTGTGGGATATCCTGTGAACACTTAGCTAAAGAAATTTTTAAAAATTGTGTTTGGTCACATTTCCTGCTACTCCCTGAAATATATTTAGCTTTCTTGCTTTTCTCAAACTTGACCTTTAGATATTCTCAAAAGGAAAATAATATCAAAACCCATTGGAAAATAAATCAAAGCAAGGAATAAAGTGAGAAGTTAATAGGTCTCTGTAGTAAGAACATACTTGCTCTGTGCCAACAGCTATGCTAAGTACCTTTTCTGCATTAGCTCATTCCATCTCTGAGATAAACATATAAGGCACATGCCTTTAATCCAAGCAGTTGGGAAGCAGACACAGGCGGATCTCTGTGAGTTCAAGGCCAGCCTGGTTTGCATAGTGAGTTCCAAGCCAACTGGGGCTGCAGGGAAACCCTGTCTCAAAAAGACCAAAAACTAAAAATAGAATAGAAAAACCATAAGGCAAGTTCAATGAATTCTAGTCTCTGAAGATGAAAGAGATGCTTAAGAAACTTGCCCAAGTTCACACAACCAGTGAACACTCCATTTCATTAATCTTTTCTCCTACTTACTAGTCTAGACTGCATCTCATTTGAATCTTCTTTCTGCTATCAGTAGAATTTTCCTTGATCACCTAAAACTCTCATTTGGATAGCCACAAACATGGTGCCCTGAAGTCACTGATATGGCCAAATTGCCCCTGGGGTGTTGTCTGTCCTTATCCTGACAGGCCAATCTGTCCTTGTCTCACTAAACATGGCCGTATCTATTTCTTCATAGAATATGTACCCGGCTAGTAAGAAGTTGAACATTTATATTCAAAGGATGAATAAAAGAGAAACACTAGGGATTAACCCTGTTGACACAAAATAGGTTTAGAGCCAAAAGCTCCAAAGCAAAAATAGCAGAACTGCAAGTACATTTTAAAGGTGAGGCAAAGCCATATTATGCATCATTTCATAAAGTCCTGTAAAGGCCAGCTCCAAAAATTAAGCCTTAGGGAAAACTCTAGGGCTCAAAGGCTTTCAAAGAGGCAGGGAGAAAATGATTACTCTCTGCTCAATGTCAAGACATTCAGTTAGGTCATGAAGCTTTTTGGTACAAGGAAAAATGGAGCAGACTACAATAAGCAACCCAAATGTGGGAAATGTAAGACTTATTGCTCAATTCTTCAAGTAAAACATAGTCTTTAAAACCACAGTCAGGAGGGCTGGAGAGATGGCTCAGTGGTTAAGAGCACTGGCTGCTCTTGCAGAGGATCTAGGGCTCAGTTCTCAGCATCCACACAGCAGCTAATAACTGTCCTTAACTCCAGTTCCAGGAAATCTGACATCCTCTCCTGGCCTCTGTGAGTACTGCACGACATGACATGGGTGGCACTTACACACATGCAGGCAA